CAAAAAGGTTTTGGGACGAAACCATACTCACAGCCACACACATAATAAACGTTTGCCAAACTCTGTTTTAAAATGAAAAACTCCTATGAAATTTTGTACAAAAAATAGCCGGGATTACTCAAATCTAAAAGTCTTCGATTGTCTATGTTTTGTTATAAATATTAACCCTCAAAAGAACAAGTTTGAACCTAAGGCTTTGAAATGTGTTTTCTTAGGATATGCACCCGACGCAAAGGCGTATAAATTATATAATATAATAAACAGAAAAATAATTTTGTCAAGCGATGTCATATTCCATGAACATGTTCTCTCATACCAAATAGAATACCCTAAACCAGATTACCATGACACACCACTGCCAATACCAAGCAACGACACAGTAACCACACCTAAAAACCAGTTACAAAGAAGAGAAGAAATTTCTTCACCAAACATTATTCCCCAAGAGTCTGAAATAAGGAAGAGCACCAGGGTGAGAGGCAGGCCTGCCTGGAGGGAATAATTTATCGCTCATACCACCAAACAACTTGTGTCAGAACTTCCCTTCCTCATGTCCACCTCACCTGCATACAATCATGGCTATGTTAATTTCATTGCACAAGTGTCTATTATGAAGGAACCAATGCCATACAGGGATGCTAAAAAGGACAGCAAGTGGGTTGAGGCCATGCAAGCCGAGCTGTCCGCACTAGAAGAAAACAACACTTGGAAACTAACTGCACTACAAAAAAAGAAGAAGGCAATCGACTCAAAATGAGTGTATAAAATAAAATAGAATGTTGACTGATCAGTTGATAAATATAAAGCAAGACTCGTGGCTAAAGGTTACAACCAAGAGTTTGGCATAGATTATCACGACAGCTTCTCACCAGTGGCCAAGATGGTCACGATTCGACTACTTTTAGTCGTGGCAGCCGCAAATGACTAGCCAGTGTATAAGTTATACATCAATAATGCGTATCTACATGGGTTTGTAGAAGAGAAGTTATACTTGAAACCCCTAGAGGGCTACCTCAAGGCAAGTGAAGGACAAATCTACCGTTTAACCAAAAGCCTATACGGCCTGAAACAAGTAGGTTGTCAGTGGAATAAAGAGCTTACTTCAAAGCTCCAATCCATCGGCTTCACAAAGTCAGAAGCCGACCACTGTCTATTCACAAAAGGAACAAAAGAAAACTACGTTGCAGTTGTGGTATATATGGATGACTTACTTGTCACGAGTCCTAATGAAAAAGAGATTTGTGAAGTCAAAAGCACCATGGATGAAGCCTTCACGGTCAAAGACCTCGACCAAACGAGATATTTATTTGGAGTCGAGATAGCTAGGTCAAAAGAAAGGATCTACATCAGCCAGAAAAACTACATTAAAGACATTTTACTAGATACAAAAATGGAAGATGCAAAAGGAAGCCACTTTCTCCTGCCTTCCGGACTAAAGCTAAATGCAGAAGAAAAAGAAATCTTACTAAATCCGGAGAGGTACAGATGTCTAATCGGCCGTTTGCTTTACCTCAACTTTACTAGATCCGACATAACGTACTCCACCCAACATCTCAGTTAGTTCATGCAATAACCTAGACGACCGCATTCGACGCCGCACTACATGGTTTCAGGTACCTAAAGTAATATCCGGAGCAAGGCATCTTTTTTTCGAGAAAGAATGACCTTAAAATTCAAGCCTTTTGTGACTCGGACTTGGCATCGTGTCCGATGACCCGCAAATCCCTCACAGACTTCTGTATCTTCCTCGGGCCTGCACTAATCTCTTGGAAAATAAAAAAACAAACTACGATGAGCAAGTCTTCCGCAGAAGCTGAGTACAAGAGTATGTTATCCACAGTATGTGAAGTTTAGTGGATAACCTATCTTCTTCGAGATTTTTAAATAGTACCTCACTTACCTGTAATACTGAACTGCGACAACAAAGCCGCCGAGCATATCGCAGCAAATCCGGTCTTTCACAAACAAACGAAGACCTTGACATCAATTGTCACATAGTTCGTAACCAGGTTCAGAAGGGCTTCGTCGAGACGAAACACGTCACCTTGAGAGAACACTCACCGATCTGCTCATGAAACCTTTAGGAGCCTCAGCACATCACCGACTTCTGTTCAAGATGAAGCACTTGCAACAAGAAAGTACAAAGGTTTAATGAAGTGGCAGTGTGGGACTCGAAGAGTTGAAAGTGAACTGGTTTCATCTTGAGGAGTAGGTGAAAAGAATTAAGTAAAAGGCTGAGAGAAAAACGGACAGGTGGACCGCCCAGATCAAAACCCTAAAATGAAGGGTTTAGATCTTTTTTTCTGTTCAAAAGTTGGAGATAGCTGGTGGTCTCAGATGATTCTAGAGACCACCTTCATTTACTCCCCTACACGTGTATATATTCCCAACCCCCACACAATAAATGTTGTAGAAAATTAAAAGAGCATTAAATATTCTCCACTTACCCGGTTGGATTTTTACACAAATCAATTAATAGTAATAATTTGCGGTAACAGTCAAGAACTATATTTATTTTTTTTAAAAAAAAATATATGTACTAATAATGAATAAAAATAATATAGAGATTATTTTAAAATCGTACATAGTCTAATTTAATATTTTGGTTGTCACCAATGTTTATTATATCAATGTTCATTGTCTTCAATCTTTTTTAGAAATTATTTCTTTGCTATTATTTATATTAAAATGATAAAATTTTATATGTAACTCGTGATACTTTTAATAAAAATATTATGTCATGCACTTTTGCAAGAAATATATT